TTGCAGACACTGAAATAAACAGAAGCACTATGATTTGTTTTCTTTTAGGCCTATAGTCTTCAATTAACTTAAAAACTCCCTTGGATATAAACAGTGTCTACCAATTCTGATTTCTAATGAAAATTAGCTGGTCTAAGAATATGACTAATTAACCATCAACCATCCACTTGTGGAAATAGCACACCTTTGTCTCAATATCAGAAAGATCTACCTTTGGAAAATCTGCTTGATAGATTTCTGCAATACGCTCCTGGTGCCTTCTGAGAATTCTCTTCCAATCTATATACATTCAGTGTATTTTCAGATCAATTTTAGATGAAAATAATAATTAATATACTTAGTAAAATCAACTTGTAACTCCTCTATCTAAATATCAAATATCTTGAAAAGTACAGAATATATATCCTTTAGATCAGTGGTTCTCAACCTTGACTGCACATTAGAATCATCTGGGAATCTTTTTAAAATCCTGATTTCTGGGCCTCGTCCTCCAGAAATTCTGTTTCTTTGTTATGGGGTGGGGCCACAACATTAGTAACAAAGAAACAGAATTTCTGGAGGATGAGGCCCAGAAATCAGGATTTTAAAAAGATTCCCAGGTGATTCTAATGTGCAGCCAAGGTTGAGAACCACTGCTCTAGACGGACTGGGAACAGAGAGCCACTTAGCCTGTATGGGAGGTGGAGGGAGCCCTCCTCCACCTGGAGAAAAGTGCCTTTCTGTGGGAGCTGGAGGATGAAAGGTCACCGAAAAGGCACTGGCCAGCTCCAGGCAGAGGCGCCCTCTGTGGGGGAGAGGGGGTGGGGCCTGGAGAGCCTCAGGAGTCACCTTGTAGTTTTAACTTAATCCTGAGGACATCTAGAGGGCACTGAAGGTTTTGAGCAAGGAAAAGCAAGGTCAGGTTTGCATTTTCTAAAGCTCTGCCCTGTCAGGGAGCAGACAGCCTGGAGGCTTGGAGGCCAGCAGAGGCAGGAGAGGTTGTGCAGGCTGGAGGGAGTGAGGTCTGGATGGAGAGAAACCGAGGGTCTGAGAGAGGTGGTGGTGGATTGACAGTCCGTGGTCATCAGCTGGATGTGGGAGCAATGCACAGACCAGAGGGAGGTGTCTGGGAGGATGTTGGTTAAGTTTTAAGCTGTGATTGAGATGGGGCACACGGATGGGTGGGAGTTTCTGTCACTGAGCTGGAGGCGCCTGGGGGACCTGTCAATCCTGTCAATAGTAGGGTATGGTAAGCCATAGAGCTTAGGTTCAAATCCTGCCACTGGTCTCTCACTTAGATAATGACCTTGGGGATGATTCTAAATTATTCTATGCTTCTATTTCCTCATTTAAAAATTGAGAGAAATAATTGTATTTATATCTCACTGGATTTTTGAGAATTAAATGACGTAATACATGTAAAGATTGTATAATTGCTAACATTATATGTGGTTCCTTTTAAGCTTTGCATAAATATTAGCTAGGCTTGACTAGTTTGCTGGCTACAGTTAGGAACAGCCTAATCTAATCAGCTATACAGCAAAGGGATGAAATCAAACAGCTTTCAGAGAATCCGATCTTACCATCAGAGTTACTTGTCTTCTATTACCTGTGTGGATGACTCCTCACCTTCTCACCATTTGGTCTAGCTAAATTCTTCTGTATTTAAGTTCTTGGATATATATCCCTGAACTTTAACTCTAGCCTGGAAAGTCAATGATTTCTTTATCTACTGATATTTTCAGTCTTCACCATGTTTTGTTATTTAATCTGTCCCAGATCTCTTCTGGTTAGGGAGTCTCTTAATAAATATTACACATATATTTTACATTTTGTGGAACTTTGCAGTATTTACCAAGCTCTTCTCTACCCATGAGAAGGGCAGACTTATTTTTTTAAGATACAGGGTTGAAAGAAAAGCTTATTAATTGATGGATAAGCTCATGAAAGTATTTGTTTATATTAACTTCTCTGAGGAGTGATGAAAATGTAAAATTATAGGAAAACACAACCTGATAGAGAACACTTCTGTGGTTACCGGAAAGTTAAAAGAACTTTTTTTACTTCATTGCAATTTTATAAATTACAAAGTATAGGTTCAACTGATTCCTGAATTTGTGAGTCTACAGAGTTGCTCAAGATTCTCTCGGTGTACCTGTGAATTTGAATTAAGTTCCATGAGAAGGAAACATAAAGAAAATAAACCATTATTGATGGAAAGAAAATGCACAACTCCTATAACACTCTGTAGTGTATAAATCACTTTCTCAACCATTATCACAATCCAGTGTTTCTTTACATAGTTATTAAATTCACATTATTTAGGAGTCAAAATATTTCAAAACACTTGAGGGCAGTTAGTATGATTTCCAAATAATGTAGAAAGACATTTATTAATGCATACTTTATGCCATTATTATTATTTCTGTTCACAGAGGGGGAAAAGTTGAAACTGTTTGGAATCTAAGCCTTAGATTAGAGCAAATAATACTGGAAAAATCCTTTCTTTCTGTGAACAAAAACCCCCTCAATAATCCTTTTCCCTTTTATTTAATATTTGGAATGTGAGAGGGTCAAACATGAACTGGCAAGGAGAGGGGAAGAATGTGGAGAGAGCTTAGGAGGGAAGCAAGAAGTTACACTCATAGAGAGGTTGGTTCATTTTCTGAAGATGGGTGTTGAGAAGACAAAATAAAAATTCACTACTATCTCTTTCTGCTCCACTCTGCAGTTTCTTGCAGTTCATAAGAGCATGCTGCCAATGATTCCTCTTTTGTTATGCCAATTCTTGACCTTTGGCTGTCACGTGACTAATATAGCACTTGGCCTAGAGAATGTTAATTGGCATTATTCTGGCAATGATGGAAACTATTTACTAGTTAAGTCCTTTCTCATAGGATCGGTGTTGGGCAGTATCTTAAATGTCACCTCCTCCCACCACGTACACTGTTTTCCAGTCTATATTTCCTCCTTTCCTTCTCTTTTTTCTTTCCTTTTCCATAATCTCTGCCCCACAATATTTTTTTTCTGTACTGCTCTATGTAAGCTAAAGGGAACTCTTAGTTGGAGTGCCTGACCTTAAGCATAATTTGTTCATCATTAACATCCATCTTACTCATGGGAGGTGGGTTTAACATTTTACATTTATCACCACATTTGATCCTTGTTTTTAAGCATATAAGCTATGGCATTATTACTACTTATTACCCATTTATCTCTATTGATGTTTTTCTTTTATTAATATTTTACATGGGTTGTATGATGCATTTAATAAATTATCCAAGATCACCAAGGTAATAATTAATGCAACTAGAATACTGGAGATAAGACCATGGTTACTAAGAAAAACCCAGTAAGACAAAGGTCTCGCTTCATTAAACCAAGCAGCAAGAGCAAAGAGGCCATCTCTGTGTCAGTGGAAAACTGGACTATAGAATGTTGTGGTAGCCTGTTCCAATGACAGAACTGCCCAGCTAACAACCAGAGTTATGAATTGTGTTGTTCCTAGTGAAAAGGCTGACTCTAGCCTGGCCAGTGTGGCTCAGTGGTTGAGTGTCCACCCATGAATCAGTAAGTCACTATTAGATTTCTAGTCACTGTTAGAGCCCAGGTTGTGGGCTCAATCCCCAATGCAGGTGTGCAGGAGGCAGCTGATCAATGAGTCTCTCTCATCATTGATGTTTCTATTTCTCTCTCTTACTCTCTTCCTCTCTCTGAAATCAATTTTAAAAAAGGCTGACTCTAAAGTGGAGGTTAGCAAAATTTTGTATGTTAGGTGAGCATAAGGAGACGCTATCATCTGTATTTTAGCACCATTTTGGTTGCATAAAAAAACTAGTTTTGATGGAATAAAAATTAAATTCAATGTATTAAACTCATTTTAATAAGCATAACTATTAATATATTTTAAATTTATTTTAAATTGCATATGCTTATTAGAAAAACATTGACCGTAACCAAATTTATAACATAGTAAGAGTCTTCTATTTTCTCTCACCTAATTTTATTCTACAGAGATAACTGTAGTTATCAGTTTGATGAATATTGCTCTACATATTTTCTATGTCTATATAAACACATGGGATCATATTAAATTTACTAACATGCAGAATTGTGGTGTGTTTCTTTTACATAATATACTATGAGTATTTTTTCATATAAACACAAAGATTTATTTCATTCAGTGGAAAACTGGACTATAGAATGTTGTGGTAATTATTGGGCTCTTCCCATTGTATAATATATAATAACTCATTTAATCAATATGCTATTGCTGAATATTTAGGTTGTATTATTGCTATTATAAAAATATTGCAGTGAACATTCTTGTATAACAAATTATTTTAATCTGTGCATTTATCCATGGATAAATTAAGATAAGTAGACATTCTTGTATTAGCGTAATCACTAATTTTTTCAATGGATATCCTTGAGGTGCCACTTTTCAGTTTAATCTGTGAAAATTAAGCACACTGTATACAATGGCATTTTTATTATATATATATAATATAATATATATTTTATTTGTGTGTGTGTATGTACCATTGCAAGCAGACCAAAATTGCATCAAATGGTTTTGTGCAAAGATCCATACACCTAACAATTTTTATTATCCTACCTCTTATACTGAAAATAAAACAATACATCAAAACAGGCTGTATATATTTTAAAGTTTCAATGAATGAAACTATCCAAAAAGAGAAATAATCACTATGTGTGGTAGCTAGAGTCTCTCCTCTTTGGAAAGGTCATAGTTTATTGATTTTAGAAGAAGGGAGAGAGAGAAACATCAATCTGTTGCCTTTTGTATGTGCCCCAACTGGGGATCAAACCCACAGCCTGGTATGTGCCCTGACTGTAAATAGAATCCACCACCTTTCAGTGTAGACAGCGATGCTCCAACTAACCGACCAGACCAGGGCTCTATTTAATCTTTTTCACAGCTTTTTTATTATGAACACTGGAATTCTCTTCTAGGGAGTCAATTACTCATTGAAATTATTTCTTTTTCCCTCCGTCAGGGCTGCGTGGGGACTTTATGGTATTGACAGTATGCCAGATCTCAGAAGGAAAAAAACTCTGCCTATTGTACGAGATGTGGTAAGTCAGTCACTCCTGTTGAATTCTCTTTGATTGCATGTGTTCTCTTTGTCTTTATTGGATGCCATATTGTCCTTCTCATTAAATAACTGACCTGTAAATATTTCATAGAATAGAACATATAAGAAGCTGGATTCTAGCAAGTGTTATATTTATTATTTCTTTAAAATCTATTAGATGGGGAAAATAACTCTCACCTTCTGACAGCTCTCAATATTAGTTGAAATTACAAATGGAGTTAAAATGACCCTATAATTGAGCAAAAAGAAGTCGCACAGCATGTCAAGCAAGCTGCTGCAACTGGCTTGGATGTGTTCCATGTTATGAATGACCACAAGTTTAATTTGCAGTTCAAGGCTTGCTTTGAATTTATTCACCTTAACTCAGTAGACGTTAATACTTATAAAGTAAGCCGATAATATGAATCATTTTTATTCTATTCTGTTAATATCAACTCTAGCCAAATGAATAAACTCTTCCACTGCCTAAAGAAAACCATGGCTCCCAAGTCATTGTAACTTTCATTAGCCCTGAACATAACTCTGGGTAACTCAAGCTCTCCTATAATGAGATATACTGGGGAACATCTAGAGATGCAAAGAATTAATAATGTTCTGTGCTATATTATGAAAACAAATAGCCCATCAGCATAACAAAGAGTGTTTTCTGACATCCACAATGTCTTCACATTTTTTCTGGAGGCATATTCTTAATAGTTTATGACATGAAAATATATTTTTTCCCAGAGAAACCAAAATTTATTTATATCAGTAACTTCTTTTTAATCTTCACCCAAGGACATGCCTTTATTGATTTGAGAGAGAGAGGAAAGTAGAGGAAGAGAGAGAAAGAGAAAGATCGATGTGAGAGCACATCAATCCGTTGACTCCCACATGTGCTCCAACAGGGGATCAAACCCACAACCTGGGTATGAACCCATGACCTTTCAGTGTACAGGATGATGTTCAACCAACTGAGCCACACCAGCCACGGTGATATCAGTAATTTTTAATTTTGCTATGAAAACCTTCATCTGAAAGCCATCACTTTAGTTTTAAAGTAGAAAGATACAATCATGACTGGGACGATCTTTTACTGAAAAGCATGCTATGTCTGTCCTATTAGCTCAGAATACTGCCATTGTAGTGTGGATGTTATTTTAAAGTGTTAGGTTTATTTAACATCATTATACTCTTTTCTCACCTTTCTTATGTCTAATTATTTATACTTTGTTTTCTCTGACACATGGAATCTTCAGGCCATGGTAAGTGATTATTTATTTAATTACTATTTGCCAATTTTCTCAATTGTACAATACACTTATTCATGGAATAAAAGTGGGCAAGATAAGGAAAATAAAGAGAGACATACAAAAATTATATGTTTGGGTTCTCCAAGAACTTAACATCTGGTTCAATTGTGAAAGACAGACCAACTTCTATAAACAGGTACAGACTAAAATAGGGTAAAGCATTATTTTAGGGACAGTAGGTGTCAGAGATGGATGATAATCTCAGATAAAGCATTGGATGTAGGCCCTAATAGGTTTACACAGTAGCAGTGCAGATGGGTAGAGTGACTCCTTCCTCACTTAGGATTGTGCTGAACTTGATCTGGATGCCTGACTTTGTAGCTACAAGGAGATGTATTTATGACCAGATGCATTACTCTACTATGACTTCCTGTAGCTTTTAATGGGAGAGCAGATCTAATATTCCCATATAGAACTTCTGATTTCCAAAGATTCCTATAGTACTGTTGAGTTTATTATCTATATAAATAAAAAGCCAGCAACTGGAATGCTATAATGACTGGAATGACCGGTCACTATGACACCCACTGCAGCCAGCGAACTGACCCAATCTGGGGGTGGGGCTGGCCAGCCAACCTCCCGAGGGCCCTCCCTCCAGTTGGCCTGCCCCTGATCGGCCTCTCCCACCCCATTGGCCTGAAGCCCCTCACCCCCGGCTGGCCCTGCTCCTGATCGCCCCCCCACCCCAATAGGGGGCGGGCCAGCCAGCCAACCTCCTCCCATCTCCTCCTCCTGACAGGCCAGGCCCTAATCCACCCCAATTGGGGCCAGGCTGGCCAGATCCCACCTGTGCACAAATTCGTGCACTGGGCCTCTAGTGTTACATATGTTTCAAGTAGAAGCAGTATAATGGTTCTATTTTACAGGGGAAACTAAAGGGACTTGACTCTTATTTAAAATCACCTAAGTTACCAGGCTTGAGTGAAGAAAAAACCTCTGAGTAGAATGGTCCTCAATTGATAAAATGGACCCATGGAAGAAAATATCTTAGCTAGATTTGGCAGAATATTCCAGGGAACTGTGAACAACTCAAGAATGTTCTAGCACCAATTAGGATTCAGGGTCATCACACACATCAGCTGGCTCCGTGCCAATGGTCATGTTTTATGAAAGAATGTGCTCATGACCACCTTGGGGAGAAAAATTCTAAAAGCCTCTTCTAGTCTGGAGTCCATAGCTGATTACCCTGCCTTACCGGACCTCAGTGATCTCATCTATAAAATGTAGGAGTTGGGTTTGATGATTTAATGTTCAGCTTTAATGTTCTATGATTCCTCGTTCTAGATGACTTGGCTGACTACTGAAAATGGCAGGTCCCTATTGAGCAAACATGAACAACAGTTTACATTCTTACATTTTTACATTCTGCTGAGCAGTCACCTCATGTACCAATAATTCATAATTCTGTTTTAGACCCTGGCTGCCCGGAAATCTGGACTCTCCCTGGCTATGGTGATTAGGACATCACTGAACAATGAGGAACTGGTAGGTGCAAAGTCCATTACTATGTATCCATCATAGTCCAGTGGCAAAACCATCCTGTTTGATGCAGTCATTTGTAATGTTTGTTCCAGTACTCCAGGAATAACTGGGAGCATGGGAAGAGTCTGATCCTAAAACAAATTTCCCCTGGGCCTCAGCTTCACTATCTTACAAATTATCCTTTGTTGCTCAACTATGCATAAAATGTCCCATCTTTAGAAATGTGATTCCATCCTAACACAATTTAGCTTTTATTTTCCCCCTGAAAAAAATCCTGTGAAAGTTTTACATAGTGCAAGTTTTGTCTCATTTATGAGGCTTTCCAAAACACCCTTCTCCCCTTCTGGCTGAGCTATTAGTTTCCTTTTGTGTTTGTTTTGTTTTGTTTTTAGCGTTTAATCACTACCTCCATAAGGTAATATAGTTAAGAGTGGGGGCTATTTGATGTGAGTCCCATATCTTCCATTAAATTATCATTGTTGTATCTGGCAAGTTATATAACTGCTGTAAACCTGAGTTCTTTCATCTCCATAGTGAGGTGGCAATAAGAGGATTAAGGGAGCGGATCCATGTTTAACACCCAGCATAGCTTTAAGATATAGTAAACAATAAATACAGGTGTCTTTATTATTTTTCTCATTACACTTAATTTTATTATTTGTATAATCAACTTGCATAACCCTTTACTTTTAGACTGATATCACAGGGGGTAACATAATATTTTGTTTGTTGATCCATATTTTCATTTGTGTTGCTTAGTACACTGTCTGGCATGAGGTAGAAGCTTTGTAGTTCTTGCTGAATGAAAGAAGATACAAGTAAGCTGCAAATATCTAGGTCAGGGATTCTTAATTTGGCTCCTCAGATTCACTGGGGGGAGCTTTAAAACACACCTTCTGTCTGGGTCTCATTCCCAGTGATTCTGATTTAATTGGCTTCAGGTGTAGCCTGCATAGTTTTGAAAACTCTCAGGTGATTCTAAGGTGCAGTGGATGTTGTGAAATGTAGCTCCATCCTGCACAGACACTGCTGAGGCTTTCACTTAAGACAATGTATCTGTGCCCCTTTCATATGGAAATTAATATACTCTACCTCTCTCAATGTTAGTGATTTTGTCATTCTTATAGAATTTTTTCCCAAAACATTAAATGTTATAAATTTCTATACCCTTGACATTTAAACATTATTTATATTTCTTCTCTTCTTCTTGTCATTGTCATCTTTCAAAAGCCCACATTTCCTAGGTCTTATCAGCAAACTCCCCAATCTCCATGTACATCAGCAAAACAATACATGTTCATTTGAATATCTGAATGTTAAGACAAGTTAAAACATTTTCTATTGTGCCAGGGAATTGAAATACTGTGGCTGCTTCCCCAGGGGCATGGGACACCATCTAATATTCTGAATATAGTTTGGATTTAAGAGAAAGTAAACATCCTCTATTGATATATTCCTACACTATTCCTTTTTTATATTTTAAAATATGGTAATTGGTTTGAAGTGCAAATACTCATTGCTATAAAAACCTAAGAGGAGCCCAGCCAGTGTGGTTCAGTGGTACAGTGATGGTCACAGTTTGATTCCTGACCAGGGCACATGCCTGGGTTTCAGGCTCAATCGCTATTAGGGGATGTGCAAGAGGCAGCCAGTCAATGATGCTCTCTTATCATTGATGTTTCTCTCTCTCTCTCTCTCTCTCTCTCTCTCCCTCTCCCTCTCCTTCCCCCTCTCCCTTTTTTTCTCTTTCTCTCTCTTGCCTTTCCTACCCCTAAAATTTAAAAAAAATGCTAAGAGGAAAGCAATAGAGATTAGAGGAATGTTACCACAATTTCTGAGGCTCTGACAGGGAACCTACCCTCACTTTATGGTTAAATTAACTATTGATCTACTTTTCACCAACTTAACTATCACTTTACTTCTTCAGTTTTAGAAGATGGATGTAAAAGTTTTTTGTTTGTTTGTTTGTTTGTTTTCTGTGCAGGTGCTGGGTGGATAAGTAGCATCCATCAGCTCCCTCTCAAATTCATAAAGCCCATTTCCCTAGAGCCCATGTCTCAAAAAGTAAATGAAATATGGCCACTATACAGCAGGTATATTAAGTGTCACCCTTGACAAGCCATCACATTAATTCATTGCATGGGCAACTAACATTAATGCTGAAGAGGATAGTGTCCATTTCTTTGTGTTGGAGGTCTTCCTAGGCACCCTCAAAGTGAAGGCCTGAGATACTGGCCTCTACATGAAGGAAAACGGCTTGGCCATGTGGAAACTATCAAATGTTAGCTCTTCTATTTTCTTTCAAGAGATGTATGTAAGAAGCTCAGGTATCTCTTCCGAAGAAGGAAAAGGCGGTAAAGCCTGAAGCGAGAGGCCAGAGGGTCAGCAACACAGGCCCCATTAGCACTGTTGGCAGTGGGACAAGCATGCCAGGTGCCCCTCCACCTCAGTCCCCACTCACCCGTGAGGAGTTGGTGGAGCTGACTGGGAATCTCAGTCTAGGAAGCCCTTCAGGAGTAAGGTCTCTGAACATTTCCATCTGGCTTAATAATGCAAGAAGGGATAACCATCTAGTATCCATATACGGCAACAATAGCCTGCCTGGTACTACGCTACCTAGCTTTGTCCTTGCTTTCAGCGTGTTTCTTCAGCGTGGACCCAACAGTGGGACAACCAAAGTAGATCCATTCAAAATTAAATAAATATTAATTGACTACTATGTGTCAAGCATTGTTTCAGATTCTGGAAATAAGGCAGTGAACAACTCAGCTAAAAATTCCTGCTGCCATGGGGCTTTAATATAGGAGGAGGGGAGCTGGCAGAGAAGAGACTGGTGGCTGCTGGAGGGGACAGAAGTTGGGGGTCTGGGTGAAAAAGGTGATGTGATTGAGAAGTACAGATTGGTAGTTACAAAATAGTCACAGGGAACATATGTTCCCTAAAACACAGCGTAGGGAACATAGTCAATAATATTGTAATAACTATGTGTGGTGCATGGAAACCTTCCCATGTTTGCTATGAAAACCTTCATCTGAAAGCCATCACTTTAGTTTTAAAGTAGAAAGATACAATCCAGGGAACATATCTTCCCTAAAACACAGCGTAGGGAACGTAGTCAATAATATTATAATAACTATGTGAGGTGCAAGTGGGTATTGGAAATATCAGGGAGATCACTTTGTGAAATATATGATTTTCTAACCACTATGCTGTACACTTGAAACTAATACAAATTAATAGTCAATGTAAACTGTAATTGAACAATAAAATTATATATGCATATATGTATATGTATGTATGTATATGTATATGTATATGTATATGTATATGTATATGTGGTAGGGGAGGTGAGATACTATGTTTTATATTGTTACTACAGGTCATGATGGAAGCTTCTATCTATCAGGCAGGAGTTATAGAAACTCAAGCAGAGTGAGGAATACAATTCACCAAGTCTAAAAGAGATTCTAGAACCCTGCATTTTCTATCTGGGTTTAGGACCCTGTTTAGGAGTCTGGTCTATTGGCATGCTTCCAGGATTTTCCCTTCTAAGTAAGGGTTGGTTTGTCTAGGAGACTGTGGGTCCTTCTTCCAGTAATGGGATTCAGGACCAGTAAAAGGGACTCACAAGAGCTAGGTATGGGACTAATCAGGAGATCAGACCTGGGCCATATTCCTAGCATGATACTAGAGAGATAACATGGAGGGTTAAGGCTGGTGAGAACACCTGTCTGTTCTGGGCTCAATCCAGATGTTGTAGGCTCACATGCACACAGGTGCTCTGGACTATTGCTCAGGAATAGGGGCCCTTGCAAGCCACATGGACAAGTGTTGAAGTGAAATGGGCCTGAATTACAACCTCAGCTCCACCTCTTACTGCCTCTCAAAGCTTGTTTCTTATCAGTACTCCTTGACTCCCTGAGAATTGTTCACCTCATCCTTAAAATGAAAGTGATAATACTTATCTCACAATTTATGGGAATTAAAAAATGCCTTGCCAGGCAGAGCAGGTGGCAGTCAGGGAAGCAGGACAGGGACTTGTGTTGAGGTATCCAGGATATATGCTAAGTTCAAGGTTTCCCTGTCACTTGGCAGCTGAGGGTCCAATGCCAGGGAGTACTGAGTTGGAAACCAGCAGTAATGACACCAAATGTAAACACCATCTCATTTGCAAGTGTTGCTATTGGTCCTGCTTTTGTCCTTCTTCCAAAGAGCACAGTCATTGGCTTGAGATAGATGTTGGTCCACTACACTAGTAGCTATGGAAACCTGAGGAAGTTACAGAAACTTTCTTGACCTTGATTTCCTCATATGTTTACTAATTATATAAGATTTTTGCATCTGTGTTTTAATGGCCTTTGATTACTGTGTATTTGAGCAATTTGGGCATCAATAATAAATCAGCCTCATAAAGTAAGTTGGGAAATTTCCTTTTTGTCACTTCTCTGCAATGGTTTGCATGAAATAAATGCTGCTATACCTTGAAAGACTAGCAAAACTTGCTACTAAAACCATCTTTATTTTCTTAGGATAGCAATTTGACAACTGAATCAATTTATTTAATATAATAATTCTATCCATGTTTTTCAAACATTTCTTCTTGAGTCAATTTTGATATTTTTTTCCCAGAAAGTTTTTCCCCTAAATGTTCTAATTTAGTACCACCAAATTATTCAAATAATCATATTAGGATATAGAAATGCTAGTGCTGTTTTTATCATCATTTTATACTTTCTATCTTTTATAAAATCAGTACTGTAAGAGGTGTACCTGGCATTTGTTTTATTGACTCCAAAGTGTTTCTTTGTTATCTATTTTGTTTATTTCTGTTCTTGTAATGTTTAGATTCATCTTCTATTCTCTTTGTATTCATTCTGAAGCTACTTTTGTAACTTATTAAGTTGGATATGTAGTTTAATAATTTTCATTGTTATCAACTATTGCATACATACCGAGAATATTCACAACATAAGTGAAGGAAATAAATAACAATAACACATACA